AAAAAAAGTACAGACTTACAATTGTAAAATAAATAAGTAACCGGGATGTAATGTATAGCATAAGGAATATAGTCAAAATACTGTAACAACTTTGTATGGTGATAGCTGGTAGCTAGAATTATCATGTATATAAATGTTGAATCACTGTGTTGTACACCTGAAACTAATGTAATACTGTGTGTTAACTACCCTTCAATAAAAAATAATTATCTACAAAAAATAAAATTAAATAAAATAAAAGCCCATAAAATAAAACAAAAAGTCTGTTAAAAAACGATGTTGTTAATTGTTACTACAAAAGTCTCTTTCCACTTATGTGACACCTTTCTAATTCACTTCTTTTCCTATAAGAGCAGACCATCAATTTCACTGAAATCTCAGTGAGACTTACCTGAATCAACAGAAATGTTAAGAACAACGAAGGGATACTGATGTCGGTTGTACATGTGATAAACCTCATTCACAAGTCTGGAAACCTGCGTACAAAACAAAGCTGAGAAAGAATCATTGTTCCCTTCCCCCTCTGTTCTAATAACCTACTATTCTAACCAACCACCAAAGGGGAACATTTTTTTTTTCCCCAACAGCTTTATAGAGGTATAATTGGCCTGCAATAAATTATGCATATTTGAAGCGCATAATCTGATAAGTTTACAATCAAAAGCAGTAAGATTACAAATCAAGATAATGAATGCATCCATCACTCAAAAAAGCTTCCTCACACCCCAGAAAGGGACATATTTAATCACAGATTTCAAAAACTGAACCTTTTTCCAATCTAGAGACACTCTTGAAGAAATGTCCAAAAAATGCAGGTGCCATTTAAATGCTCATAGCACATGTTCAATTATACATAGAAATGTATTTATATGACTTTGTAATGAGATTATTAAATGGTACTAGAGATAAACCATAAAATCACACCAATTACAACACAGGTTAAAAATATCTGACATCTGGTGGGCAGAAGTAATTTTAAAGTACCACTGGAAAACAAAATATTACTGATGCACAATGTTGCTGAAGATGCAGTCAAAACTGGATGACTAAATGCCATGTAACCTATGGGAATGATGGGTTTAAGCTTCAGGCAGTAGTAATCTGGGTCCTTATCTTCCTAAAAATGGACAGAGGAAGAGAAAAGACAGAAGCATTTGCACATATGTCAGCCTGGACTGAAAATTCTAGGTGATGATTAATGTTTTAAAATGTTTACTCTCTTCAAATAATGACAATTTTTATAATAATAAATATACTGGTTATTGTATGCACATATATATGCACACGTATCCACTGAAACAACCAAAGAGACACATTTCTAACTGCCATGTTTCTGCATCAAACTCACATAAACTGCCTGTGTCAGGAAATGTTATTAAATAAGTAGAATAAAAAGTTAAGGGCAGAAAGATAAAAACAAATTTTAAATACCTTTGCTGGGTCACAAGGCCGCCGATTGATAAAGAAGAACTGCCTGTCCGTTGAACCCCTTCCCACACCGTGAGTACAACGAGAAACGAAACCTAAGACACTATCCGACGTGAACACAGTAAGGGCGGGATTCCAGAATGAACAGGATTAGAAACACATCATATGGCACATTCTTAAAGTAAAAAGAAAGAAAACCCTAACCCCTGGCAACGAACGTGCAGGAAGTATAATGTTTCAGTCAATGTGATCCTGCGTCCCACTCTATCAGGAAAAGCACACACACTTTTGTCTGTTAGCACATCCACTACGGACCATGCTGTGGGGTCAAACTGGATTTGCCTCGACTCTCCTCTCACGTGCCCTATTCAATCCTCAGCCCCCATGCAAGGAGCGTCTGTCACTCCAAACTCACATTCCAAAATCTTGGCACTGTCCTCACCGGCTGTCCTGGGGGTCCAACTACTTGTATTCGGAACCACCGCCCACATTTCCTGCCCTTTTCATCTGTTCTTGGTTAGCAAACTTGTGTCTGCTGAAGTGTTGATGAAGCGCTTATTCTAAGCACCGCCCCCACCCCCACGGATATTTGCATTTCCGTAAGAACAAGACCTTACCTAAAGAAAGGAGTCCCCAGCTTTAATCTCAGGCAAACGCCCAAGACGAGTGGGAGAGGGTGGGATAAGCAACACGGGCTGTCACAGGGCCAACGCTGCTCTGGAAAATTCCTATTTTTCTTACTCTAAAAGTAACACGCCGTTCCGGACTCTGGGTGAGTGCTGCTGAGTGGAAGGAAGCAGCCTCTGCCGCTGCCAAGTCCCAGGGAGGTGCAACATTATACCCGAGGTAGCTGAGTTCTTCAACTGTTCGCTGAACAGAGCCTTAACTGTACAGACTCACTAGGCATAGGTCACCCACAGCACTGCCTGAACCTGGGGACTCACTGGCTTCTCTAAGCCTTTCTCACAGCAGCAGGAGCGCCTGCACTTCTATGATGGACAGAAGAAATGACAAGCTCTAAAATCCCTGTTTTAAAATACAAGCAACCCGGCGGAAAGGGACGTACCGGAACAGATTGTGCAATGCGTCGGAGCAGCTCAGCCCGTATTCGTCACACACAGAGTCGCTAGGGGGCAGCTGAACAAAAGGAACGAGGCTTTGCAACTAAAAGAAACGGAGATTCACAGTTGGTATCTTACAGACAAGTCGCCCTACCTGAACGGAGGAAGGTGTGATGCAGCGTTTGGGGATGTCGGCGTTCTTTGTCCAACCATCCACATTGAGAGCACAAAATAACTCCACTCTGCTTTTTGCAGGACTGTAATTTTGATTTTTTTTTTATTAGAAAGATGAAACACTTGAACTCCTACTTATCCAGTCAGTACATTGCCCACAATATTTTCTATTTTTTTGCAGAGAGTAAAAGGAAGAATAAAATAAATAACTCTGTTCTCAACATTAATTTTTGTGATAAGTACCAAATTTTAAAAAAATCAATTTTTGGATTTTATCCTCTAATTCATTGCAAAAGACTATGGAAGCCTATCATGATTCCTAGAGCAATAAACTGGTTTTAAAAAACGGACCAACACTACCTGTTTCTGCCCAAACACAGATCCAATATTTTCCTTGATGCTGGAGCTTCCACTGGTGCAAAGCACAGGCTGTCGCTTTCCTTGTCCAACCTGATTAGTGCAACTCACACGGATGCCTGCTGAAATGATACAGTATGCGTGTAAGACCTGGACCATTCTGGCATACTCCTGTTCAAAACACAATGCAAGGTTCAATGTTACTTTAATCTTAAAAAAAAAAATACACAATTCAAGTTATAACACTCAATTCGAGGTTCTCATCATCTCACAAATAAGGCGATTATTTATGACAGAATAATCCATTATTCACATCTCCCTACACAGTGTAAAAGGGAACTCAGAGGTTGAGGTCTTAGTCACACTGCCCTCATTACCAAAACGTCCATGTTCACTGCTACGAAAACTGAAAGGGACATTCCTCCCTTGTATATTGTTGGTGGGAATGTAAAAATTGGTGTAGCCACTAGGAAAGCAGTGTCGAGTTTCCTCAAAAAATGAGAAATAGAACTACTATATGAGCTAGCAATTCCTCTTCTGGGTATTTATCCAAAGAAAATGAAAACATTATTTTGAAAAGACTTATGCACCCCTAAGATCAGTGAAGCATTATTTGCAATAGCAAATATATGGAAGCAACCTAAGTGTCCATCAATAGATGAATGGATAAAGATGTGCTACACACACACACACACACACACATTGGAATATTATTCAGCCATAAAAAAAAGAATGAAATCTTGCCATTTGTGACAACACGGATGGACCTTGAGGGCCTTATAAGTCAGACAGAGAAAGACAAATACCATATGACTTCACTTTTTGTGCAACAGACTGGTGGTTGCCATGGGGGAAGGAAATGGGGATGGGTGAAACAGCTGAAGGACAAAAAAAATTAGTGAGAATGTTTGATATCTTGATCTGGGTAAGGGTTACATGAGCGTATACACAGGTGTCAAAATTCATTGAGCTGTATGCTAACATCTGTGCATTTCATTATATGCACCTCAATATAAAATAGAAATAAAAAAGTCAAACTCAAAACATTTTGTATATGATCCTAATTGTTAAAAAAATAGAAACATATGCATAAAGATTGTATATACATGTCTACATTTAAAGACTAAAGGATATAAACTCTGGGAGGTAGACAGAAACAATAGCAACTTTCTACTGGGCAGGATTCTATTTTACTTAAATGTTTCATTTTCTTTGTTACTTTATTTTATTATATCAATTAACTTATTTATCGACATTTTTTCCCCAAGATTTATAAACAGATTAAACTAAAAGGAGTCTGGAAATTCTGGAAAAACATATAGTATGCATACACAGGCACACCTCATTTTATTATACTGTGCAAATACTGTATCTTTCACAAACTGAAGGTTTGTGGCAACCCTGAGTCGAGCAGGTCTGTTGGTGCCATTTTTTCAACAGCATTTGCTCTCTTTGGGTCTGTGTCACACTTTGGTAATTGTCGCAATATTTCAAATGTTTTCATTATGATTATATTCATCATGGTCATCTGTGATCAGTGATTTTGATGCTCCTATTGTAACTGTTCTGGGGTGCCATGAACTGCACCCATATAAGACAGTGAGCTTAATCCATAAATGTGTATATGTTTCGACTACTCCACCAGCTGGCCTTTCCCCCTTCTCTCCTGGTCTCCTTGGGCCTCTCTATTCCCTGAGACACAGCAGTATTCAAATAAGGCCAATTAATTACCCTACAATGGCCTCTTAAGTATTCAAGTGAAAGGAAGAGCCAACCAACATGGCAAACTTCATTGTCTTATTTTAAGAAAATGCCACAGCCACCCCAACCTTCAGCAGCACCACCCTGATCAGTCAGCAGCCAGAAACACTGAACCAGGAACACTGAGGCCACCTACAAAAAGATTATGACTGGCTGAAAGCTCAGATTTAATTAATGTTAGTCCATTTTTTTAGACATAATGCTATTGCACACTTAATAGGCTATAGTATAATGTAAAGCACTGGGAAACCAAAAAAATTCATTTGACTCATTGTATGGGGGTGGTCTGGAACCGAACCTATCTCTGAGATGTGCCTGTATGTAAGTATACATACATACATATATACACATACACACAGTTTATAAGTGCTTTTTAAACCCAATGATTATCTAACATTTAGCTGTTTCATTTTCATTCAAATTTATGGAAGTTGCAATAATTCATTTTTTAAGAAACCAAGAAAAATAATCTTATAAAAAAATTTTATTAAAGGCCTCATTTCCCATATGAGGACACCTAATAAACATGATTTGATGATTTTTCCCAAGAAAAGTAAAAGGTAAATCATCCTACAGTTAAAAAGTCTTTGAGGGGAAGAGCAAACCAAGCACTCCTCCAAAACTAAAAGGAAGAAAACCAACTGAAGAGTTATTCACTGTAGCAGATCTTTCACTACATACGTATATCACACTATCACTGGTCTTGGAAATGAGGATCCAGAATTTACAGTACCTTTTTAATGTTCCTTTGAAATTCCTTATGGCGAACAGGCAGTGTATAAAATAGTTGCTGTACACTGACCGTTGTCCCACTGGGCCGTGGATGGGGGGTTTTCTGGACAATTTTCCCATTGTGATCAAACACCAGCCGAGTCCCAACCTTGGCAGATGTGTGGCAAGTAGAAATAGTTACATCACTGTAAGAGAGGGCCAGGCACAACACGGTCAATTAGAGATCCCTAGGTGCTGGACATTACATGCTCCTTTTCTCACTTCCCTTCTCTCAGAAAGCTCCTAAAAAGATGATGATCTCTCTGAGATATTAGAGAGAGTTTAAATGGTTGAAGAGTCACCATAAAATCTAAGGTTTGGCACCTAATAGTGAGGCAGAGTCCTGCAAAAGCTTTGCTTTGATAAGAGCTTTGATGTTTATTTTGTTAAACTGCAAAACACTAAAAGGTCTTGACATGTATATTCACAAATAAAGAATATTTCTCACTGCTGTTACTATTGTTCTAAAAACATTTTTAAAAAGGATTCAAAAGATATTACAGTTCAAATATTATAGGTAATTATTCATAAAAATTTAGAATCTATTGTGTCATTACAGGAGCCCTGCAATTAAGTATTTTCCTAAACACTGAAGTAAATTAAAATCAATAGCATCTATAATGCATTATCTACGTGCAATTTTAAAACTGAGAAATCACTGCTTTATTAAGGGTAACAATTTGCTTGATTTCGTTCATTGCTTACATTTCAGAAGTACTACCACTTACGTTGGTAGTGAGCTAAAACAGAACACAGAAGTTAAAAGCTGAGACATGCAGATAGAACAGTGTACACAACAATCGTTCTAATTATACTTTTTAATTTTCAGAGAGTTTACAAGGAGTACAGTTAGCAGAAAAAAATATTGCATTACCTCAGTGCACAAAGCGAGCTCAGAGCTTCCCCCCGAAAGCCAAAAGTTTCAACCTGAGTTAGGTCAGCAAAGTCTTGAATCTTAGAAGTGTGGTGTTTCAGAGCTGAAAGAGAGGTGTAAAGCAAGGCCCAAGATATCTCAACTGACATAGCAATGAATATACAGAGTAATGACCAAGTAACTGGTCTTAAAAAGCTGCTTTGGTGCTTCCTAAGATGGTTACTCAAAATTCTGCCCAAATATTTTTTAAAGGATTAGAAAAATGCAACTTACTTAAGCCTTCAAAGTTTGCTTCTTCCACCCCACTTCCATTGTCTGAAACTTCAATGAGATCCACCCCATAGTCTTTAAGCCTTATATCTAGAAAGTTTAAAATGTTTATTACTCAAAGACTTGATCCATGGAAAAGCCTTTATATTGACAATACCTAAAATTCATAATGCAAATTTTAACCATAACTATATTTACTTACATGTACTACTGTTATTTTGTACATTTTCTTTTTAAAGTCCTTCTTGGCTATCTACTAGCTCAGATAAAATAGGATCTCTCTTTGAAAAGGATCATTTTAACACAGTCATTAAAGAGAACAAATTCTGGAATCAGACTTTTTGGAATTACACTTTACTAGCTTTATAACCACAAAAAAAAGTAGAGGCTGTGTCTTAGCTTCCTCATTTGTCAAATGGAGGTCATAATAATAATTCCTATCTCATTAAGTTATCTGCAGATCAAATAAGGTATTCCATCTATGGTTAGTAGCACAATATCTTCCTGGCACACAGTAAGAACACAATAAAAATTAATAACTGCTATTATTATTATTATTACCACTGAGCTAAATACTAGGCACATAATAGGTCTAGATTTAAGTTTAAAAAAATCATTTCTCAGAATACCAACACTTGATTGTCTTGATACAGTAACAAATATTTCCTGAAATAAAGTAACATAAACTAATTATTTTCTGTGGCTTAAAACCCTCCCAAACTTACCAATATTAGTGGCACCAGCATCCACACTGTTTTCTACCAACTCCTTTACAGCAGTGCTTAAACTCAGTACCACTTGCCCAGAACAAATCTGATGGACTGACCTCCGATCAATAGGTTTGATGGACTTGGCAAGTTCCATGCTAAAAAAACCAACAAGGAATAAAGCAAGAAGGCATTCATGAATTTCTATCCTGGTTTTAACTGTGGCAAATGGTTCATCTCTGTTAATAGATATTGTGTCTAATAAGTGAGTTCACTTATTATATCGACATATCCATGTATTATATTCATAAATATAAATGCTATTCTACAATGCTTAACCATCGTTCAAAAAATCTTCTGAATGGAGATTTTGAATATAATATTTAAAAATCTAACTATACTGGGATTTACATGCAGGAGACCCATGTACTTCTCAAGCTGTGCATCAATAATCTTTTGCATCAGTGGGATCTTCTTTGAAAAGTGAAAGCTAACATTTCTAACACGATTTGAAAACCAAGAATTCTGGTGGGAAATACACAGTGTTTATGTCAAAATCAAAACCATCTAAGAAACTGGGTACCAGTTATATACCTAATACCTGCATTTGCCTTTGAATACCCACTCCAAACTCAGGCTGCCGACTGCTGCCTTAGCAAAGGCCCTCAAAGCTCTTACTGTACCTGCTTTAAGAGTTTTCCAACCCATTTATCTCCACCTTCTCCCAACTCCAATCCACCCACTATGCTATCCTCATTTACTTTAGAAATCACAAATCTGGCCAAGTAATTTTTCTTGAAAACTTACTAGTGTCCCACTTTGTTATATGATGTTTAAAATCTAGTCATAACTGCACCCCAACCTACCTTATTTTCTCATTCTCTCCAGCCCTCCCTCTGCCAATTCCCCTACATTCTGGTCACTGCCAACAACAGTTTCCGGAACACCACAAGCTCTTGCAGACACTGTACCTTATCTATACAGGTCTCTGTATAGACCTATCCCCTCTTCCTCCCCTATCTGGCAAACTCCTGCTCGTCACAAGAACGTATTCCATATGTTCACTAATTTAGCAATTTCTAGTAAACGGCTTAATTGACATCTTGGGTATAATAGAACCCAGGAGCTTCCCTGGGAGAGAAATCTTCGGGCACCTAACAGACGGTAGACCCTCAATAAACCCTCGTAAGATACAGGAACAAACATCTTTACTCCTCATTCTACCTTGCAAAGAATTGCACTCAAGTTTTCTTAAATGTGAAAACTGCGGATGACACCCCATAAAATGTAAGTTATCTACAGGAATTATTAATTTGGCAGCATACCATAGGCTACAAGTCCATTTCTGGTATTTATTTAGAGGAATGGAGATAAAACATTTAAACCCAGATAGCGAATTTGGATTAAGGAATCTGACGTCGAATATAACAGCGCCAGCCGAAGATTCGCGACCCCGAACTCGGGGTCATCACCATCTCCAGGAGACAGAGGACAGCATTTGTGAGATCGATCGGCTACGCAAATTAGCATGCACCTTGCAGCCTCCCTAAAAATAATCTCAACTTTAAAAAAGAGAGAAACCAGGCAAAAAGGAAATGAATTCGTCCAGCCCGCGGAAATGAGGCGTCAGCCGAAGCCCCAGCCGATCCGACCCCGCAGTGCCCCTAAGGAACTGGCGGCGGCGCGGAGCCCCTTCCCGGGCCTCGGTCCGTGGGCTTGCTCACGCCACTTTCCCGTCTTCCGCAGGGATACGGTACGTCGCGAGCCTAGAGAGGGTGACGGCGAGAGGATACTGCGAGCACAGCTTACCTGGGCCCCGCGGCTCGCTCCATGGATCCAGAACCGCACCCGCCTCCGGCACTCGCGACAGACGCTACCGCCCCCGCCCCCACGGGGCCCCGCCTCCCGGCCGCCCACTGGTGGTTTCGGATGCTGTGCCCGGCCCCTTCCGGGTGAGGAGGGGCGAACGTTTCCCATATATCCTTCTCGCTGATTGGTTGTATGCAAGGTCGCGGTCATAACGTCACGAGAGCCTGGGCCAATTAGAGCACAGGACTGCGCTCTCCCGAACGCCAGCAGCCGAGTCGGAAAGGAAGTGGCCGCAGTGTGTCGTGGTGCAAGACGGTTTTTGAGCGTTCGTTCATTCACTCGCTACCTTCGCTCCTTTGGGTCCCACGATGCCGATGTATCAGGTAAAGCCGTATCACGGGGGCGGTGCATCGCTCCGTGTAGAGCTTCCCACCTGCATGTACCGGCTCCCCAACGTGCACGGCAGGACCGGCAGCCCTGCGCCGAACGCGGGCCACGTGCAGGTAGGAACACGCGGCCCTTGCCCCACCCGCGGCTGTCCGTTCAGTGCGCATGCGCGAAGACCCGAAGCCCTTCCAGTGCGCAGGCGCCGTTGCCGGTTAGTGGGACTGCGTGGACTGACGTCCGGGTATCTGCAGGGTGACGCGAGCTGTCAGACGAGCGTCCCATGCGCCCGCTAGTTCCGACTGACTATTAAGTTTGCTCGTTACGAAGTTTTACCCACAGGAAAGTGGAAAGCACGTAAATGCTCGTTTGTGGAATTTATGGCGAGCTCACTCTCACCACCCCTCAGGTTGACAGGTGGTCGGCGCGCACCCGTTGTGTGTCCCCGGAGACCCCAACCTGAGTGGTTGCCGCGCCCAGCTCCGGATGCGAGCTGAGGCCGAGCTGAGACGGATCCACCGGGTCGGGTCGGGCCGTGTCGAGTTTGCCCGGCCGGTCGCGTCTCCACACCGCAATCAAGAACCTCTCTGCTCGGAATCGAGCCTGCGGCCGTAGCGCTGCGCTGGTTACCTGCTGAGCTCAAACGCGTCGGTCGCTTTCCCATTTGATGCTGTTAGGAAAACTGCAGGGAACAGGCTTGTATCCCAGTAGCCCTAGGGTGTACCTGAGCCCAGGGGGCTCGTCTGGCTTCCGCTGTGCACAGTGCTGTCCAGCGCAGTCATACCGGCCTCTGCTCTCAGCACGTTCTGGTGCTCACACCTGCCTCAAGCAGATAGGTGTGTACTGGTATCCTGATGTAGCTTTAGTTCAGATTTTCCAGACGTCTAAATCAGTTGAGTGCACTTTTATGTTTATGGGCCATTTTGATAGCCTCTTGGAAAGTATCTGCTCAAGCCTTTCCACTTGATGAAAATAGGCATCTTAGGTTTCCCGCGGGAGACACCTCTGTACATTCTGACTGAAGATGAGTGCACAGGTTACTTTTGGGGTCCGTTTTCCTACTGGGTGTTATCCTTCACTGTCTCGATAGCTTTCTCCTGATTGGAAGGGAGGTGGTTAGATTAGTTTTGAACCAAATGATGCAGCTGTTGTCCCACTACAGAGCTCAGACAGTAGCAGACGTGGTTCAGTGCCCCTCCACTGGACAGTCCCGTGGAACCTTAAAGAAAACCCAGAGTGGAGAATGTCACATCTCATCTGAGACCAAGTCCTTTTTTTTCCAGTCTGCTGCTTAACTTCCTTTAACTTTTGACTGTGAACTAATGTGAAAGACACCAAGCCCCACTTCTCTAGCAGATGATAACAATGTGGATCGACAGATAATTAGAAATCAATCATATCCAGAGTAAATGAGAGCAACAGAAAGGATAAACTACATTTAAATACACATAAAACAACTGGTCAAACACACTATGCCAAGTCACAGTCTAGTCTGACAATAGGCCAGCACTAAAAGTGGAGTAGACTGAGAGGGGTGAGATCCAGTTGTGCAGAGGCTCCTAATCACTGGCCACGTTAAAACCCGGAGGGCCCATTGCAGATAATCTGCTGTGGGTGTTACCTCGGAGTTTAAGTCCAGTAAGTACTTATTTGCCCTGGTTCAGCAGCGACCCTACTGCCATTTGTAGAAATGAGCATGATTGTGCACAAACAATACACAAAATACAGGCCGGTTGAAAGAGGTTAGAAATACTACTCAGAAGGACTATTATTGATTAACATGAGGTTGTCATCCAGGTGGTAGCCCTCCCTACCTGTCACACATCTTGCATGCAGACTTACTTCCCCATCAGCACCTAGTTACTTAGTTGCATTACTCAACTCTTTACTCCTTTTTGCTCCACCCAGAAGTCTTATGTTTCTTTGCTGTTTGTTTTTAATAAGTGAGTACAGAGGAGGAGAGGGGAGAAAGTGGTATAAGCTCTAGGGGAAATAGGAGTTAACCAGGTGAGAGAAGAGGGAACAGAATGAAGAAAAGCCCTGTGGTGGGTGGGGACATGATGGGTTTTAGGAACCCAAAGGCAGCATGGTTTGAACAGAGACAAGGGGGAGAAATACGTAAGAGGAGGTAGCCAGAGGACAAGTCGTCTGAGCCATTTCTCAAGCCAGGTTAAGGGCTTTGCTTTTTAGTCTAAGTAGTTAACACGGGGGAAGAGGTGAGGGATCTACATTTGTTTTCATCTCTCTGGCTGCTATCTTAGGGGTGGGTTGGAGGGATGGACTAGGATGGATGCCGGAAGTTAGTCAGGTGAAAAATGGTATCCTGCATTTGGGCTGTGCTTAGAAACCAGTGGATTCCAGAAAACTGGTAGCATCTGGTGATGAGTTGGATGTGTAAGAGGGCTATTAGGAGTGACTACTGGATGAAAAAGGTTCCTGAGAACATCAAACTTAGCAGCACACAAGTGTGAGCAAGTCCTGCACTTACATGGTATTGTGAGCTCATATTTACAGTAATCTCGTCATTGCCATATTGATTATTCTATTTAGTAAAGAGCATTTTCCCCATACTTAACATACTTTTTGTTTCTCAACTCAAAATGGATTATGTTATGAGAGCTTGTGAATTTGGAAGTAGGTTGTACAATGTAAGGTTTCTTACTGTTTTAAAGGAAGTGTGTAGAGATGTGAGATGTATTCCTCAGCAAATATAGGTTACCCACTGTGTACCAGTCACTGTACCAGGCAAGAAAGATACAAAGATTCAGTGAATGAAGGATGTAAGTGTTCACATTTGTGAAGTTACACATTACAGCAGTGACGATGTTCTAGATGATTCTTAAGATATGACTGTCTTGCCAATGGGTTTCAGCCCTGGGCAAGTTCGCTATGGATTCAGTGTGACCAAAGAAATGACAGTAAAATGTTCTTGGGGTAAAGTTGGTTACACCCAACTTTATAGTGGCAGATCAATCACTAAAATTCCATTCACTCAGAGTGAGTGTACATGTGAGTGTACATGCAGCTAGCCAGTCTCCACCTCTGGGCCTTCCTGCCTGCACAGCTGTCCTGCACAGCCATCCTCTGGGCCTCTGTCCTTGGTGCTGCCACCAGCCTCTGCTCTGCTCTCCTGCAGCCTTGCAGCCATGCCACCGTGTCTCCCATACCACTGGGCGGAGCTCTTTATATAGAGTCAGTAGCAACGTATTGCCTACAAATGTGTAGTGAGCTAGTCAACCAGGGCCAGGTGAGAATCCTGGCCATAGGAACTTTCATTTTATCCACACTCCACCCTTCCAGGATTCTCTCCTCTCAGTCAGTGTGCCCTCAGTCCTCTGCAGTGTTCCCTGTGCAAGGAAGCAGGAACATTGTAATCAAACTCTGCAACAACATAATACAATATACAAATAACAAAAATTACAACAAATTATAATAACCCTCAAGCCTAAGGAGATCCATTGCCACTAAGTAGTCATCCTGGCTGTATTATTCAGACCAGTACTACTCAAATGAGTTAACCAAAAGAACCATGGGTGGGCCTTACAATACCCTCTTTCTCCAGCCTATCCAGCAAAAAGTCTTGCAGATACACAGGCCGATCTTGTTGTGTCTCTGACCTCTGCCTCTTTGGTCTTAATGGCTTGAACTGCTGCTCTGGTTTCAGTTGTTGCCATAACTCTAGTAAGATACTATTTGGCTTCCCGACTAATTTCTTTCCATCTGCTCCTGTATTAAATCAACGCACATCTGGGTCCTCATAACCTTCATGGAGCCTTTTAAATTCTTCTTGTCAGTAGCAGACCTTATTTCTTCCTGGGTTCTCATTGCTTCAGCTTCTCCTAAGTCTGCTACTATACTTGTCACCTCACTTATGGGCTGCCCTAAGTGAGGGGAAAGAATGGCCGCTAGAGACCCAAAGAGGGATGTGGGAACCATTTGAAGCACAATATTTCTCATCCCAGTAGTGAAAGGCTCTTCATCTGGGCCATGATTCTCTGGACTATAGATTGCATTTCTTATGCCTGGCTCTTGTAACACCTGTTGGAGTTCAGCATACATCTGCCATCTAGCAGGAGAGGATGGTAAATCACCCTCATTGGGTCACACAGCACGAAATGCAGCCATAAGCCAATTAAGGAGGGAGTGATTTCCTGGGGTCTGATGCGCACTTTGTAACCACTGCCTCAAGGCAGGCTGAACAGTTACGGAAGCCAGCTTTCCCATCTCTGATCCAGACAGAATAATTCCATCCACCCCTAAGTCCCACAGACGCAGGAGCCAAGCTGATACTGACTCGGAGGGCTTCTGCCTAAACCGGGAGCCCAAATCCACCAGCTCAGCCTGAGTATAGGGGCGGAGCATAGAGTGCTCCATGACCTGGGGAGGGAGCTGTGCCTCTCCTTGGGGAACTCTCGGCTGCTGGGTCTTTATTTTCTTCACAACCAGTGGGCATGCTTTCAGTACAGGAGGTGCCAGTGCCTCAGGCACCACCCCTTCATCCTTTCCCAGCTCCTCCATTTCCGGGGCTGATGGCACCTTTGTTTCCCCTCCCCCGAGTGCCTCCTCTGCTACACCTTTTCTACTGTGCCTCACAGCAATGCTATCTCAGTCTTCAGCAGCTCTCTTACCTTCACCGCAATGCTTCACAGCTGGCATTCTTGTGCCACCTGCCCCTGTGCTTCCCTCAGGAGTTCATCTTTTTCCTTGATGGCCTTTTCCTCCTTCAGAGCACCTGGCAGTGCTGCTGTCTCATTCTGTAAGGAATCTTTTACGTCTTCAATGGCACCTCACTGCCGGCGTTCCCTGTGCTGCCT